TCACGTGTTGTCGTTCCTCTGAAGTTGTAATAACATCATTTTAAACTTCATATTGCTCAGATGATTTCTGTTATTATGTCCTGACAGATCAAACAGAGGATGGGCACCAGTTTAGTTTATCTACGCTGTCTCTGTCTATGCCAGCTCCAAGTCTGTGCAGAATTCATGTTACTATGATTCTTATCAGTTACTGAGGCTTCTTCTTCAAACAAACAGAAATATTAAATTAGGTAGAAGTCGCCTTAGAAACAAAAGACTATAATGCTGCTATTGGGCCAATCGAAGTGTGCTACAAAAGAGCATTGAAAATATTAGATAAAAAACCTTTTTCATATCACCATTGTCATATTTTAGAAAAATACAAGTTTTTAAATTTTACTAATTTCAAATTATTTAAATCTGCCTGTCTAATATACAACGTTATACATGGTCTGGCGCCTCCACCAATGAGTGATTTTATTAAACAAAAGTTGCCGGGTCTCGACTGACTCGAGCCGCTGTTAGAGGTGATTGTGAACTGGCATTCAGGCGGACCACCTGTTCACAGATGCTCTGTCATATCAGGGAGTGAGCTTCTGGAATAGTCTTCCACTGTCAGTGAGGGAAAGTACAAGTCTACCCATCTTTAAGAGTCACTTAAAAGGGCAGCTGAGGGACACACAAACATGTCATCATGTTAAATAATCATGCTTTATATTGGACAGGAAAAAGAGTTAGTGTATTACAAAAAGGGAAACAACTGTTAGTGCAATGGGTGAACGCAATATCACGACGGTCAGGGCATGTACAATACTGGGGTTTGTGCAATTTAATTGATGTGTTTCTGTTATTGTCATCTATACTGTCCTCTGTCATTGTTTGTTCTAGTATAATGTGATCACTGTTTTTGTCCTTGTCACATGACCTGTAAATATTGTCTCTGTATGTTTTTACTAACTTGTGTTTAACACCAACCTGCCAGAGGGTCTGCAGATGGAAATTAGCCCAAGGCTATAATCTGGCATATTTACATTTGTTAAAATGTTCATTAATATGTATTGCCCCTGTTTCTAAAAATAAATAAATAAATAAATAAACAGTCACATTTCTGGGGAAATGCTACCACCGTATGGTAAAGATCTTCATTAAACATTATTTAGCACTTCTTTTTTTTTTTTTTAATAAAAGCGATTCTTGCAAAAATTACTTATAAGATTGACACGTGATTTTGCTTAATACTGAGAAATAAAAATGATGAATATTAACACGAGACTGCAGGCGTATATTACAGTAAGTGATACTCTTTTACGCAGTAATGCACCCTTCATAAATGCCTGTAATGTGTGATTAGAGGAACCAAAACAAGAGAGCGCTGCCGTCTCGTCAGATCGCTAACTGAGGAGCATCTGCTGTCCAACAGTGAGCAGATGAGCCATCATGTGTGCGAGTGCTGTACTTACGATGACAGACTTCCTCTGGAAGTTGATGTTGTTGATGCACACCACCTGGTGGGTCGTAAAAGCAGTGACACAACGAAACAGTTAACGTTTCATTTATGAATGTAGCTACCTAAACCCTCTCTGTCGTAGCCAGGTACAAAGTGTAGCTAAAGCTAAAGCGCTATTTACTTTAAGCTAGGGTTAACTTTGCTTCTGTTACTATAGAACATGACAACAACCAGCAAGAAAGTGATTCTGCTCAGATACTTATAATTTAAAGGGTCGCGGGCTCTCGAAGCCTTTGTCCTTCTTCCTGTTCATCGCAGCTTCTCGCTGTGCTGAACTTTTAAGGTGCCATAACTCCGCTCGGTGATGCTTCCTTTGCCTCAGCCGCACTGAGCTGCTCTTCAGGCTCACAATTCAAAGCCCCCTGCCTTCACCAGACTCGTACACGTTTACAGGGTGCTAGTCAGTTCTCCCAAAGCACTATATGTTAGCAGTGGGAATGTTTAAACGATCACTGTGTCAGTCTGTCGATGAGTCTTTGGTTTGTATCGCCCGGAGCCCGCTCTGCACTGTTTTCCATGCAAACCACGCCGACGCATTCACGAATATACATCAGCCACGAGCAGCAATAAGTTGTTTTGTATCCTTATTAAAAAAATAAGTAGTTTACTCCACAAATGCTCCACTCGATGCGCATCAAAGCATTCAAATATCCCCTTCTCTGCTCGGCAGCTCATAGTATTGTGACGCCCGCTCCAGCGTGTTCGGCCATTTTGTTAGTAACCTTTGACCTCCCGCGTAAAAATGATAATTATATTTTTTTCTCCGAGCGGTCGATTGAAAAAAATAAATAAAACAGATTTACTAAAATGAATGTGTGTGCGTTAATAATGTAAATACCGTAAAGTCTAATTTAATTAAATAATACAAATTCCACGTCACGTGAGGGGCGGAGACTGCGTGTCTGCGAAGAAGTGCACGAGATCCGCACAGCTCATTGGTTTATCCCTGTGCTGTTCTCCTCTGTCTTTTGGGGGACCAACAATGTTTTTTACAGGCACACAACATTTGTGGGGCATCTTATTGCGAGACCTGATTGTTCTCTCATTTTAATTTTAGTAATATTTTTAAATGGTTGTACAAAATGTAAAAACACGGCAGGTGCATTGGCTGCATTTTTAGATGAATAGTTGTATATGTTTACAAAATGTGTGCATACGTTTTCAAAATGTACCAATTATATTTGCATTTTAAGTTATATAAATAATTTATTCAACATGTCTGTAGCTGTGTCCCAAAACGTCGGCTGCATCCTTCGGAGGACCCGGCCTTCGCGGTCTACGTGGGCCGGGTCCTTCGAAGACCGGAAGTGCGAGGCTGTGAAATGGGACGGTCTAGCCTTCAGATTTGCGTCACCGCTGTGTCGGTGGAGTTTAATAAACTCGTGTTTGTGGACATATAATGTGTGTAACAGGGCGTGGTTTGTGTGCGAAGGGAGGCTGACACAGCGGAGCTCCATCACTTCATCACCCCTCCCCTGCATAAGACGTGCCGGGACCTGAGGTTGTGTTGTTGTTGTGTGTGTGTAGCTGGCAGCTGGGGCTGAGGGTTGGAAGACACAAAAACTGAGTAAAAAGTGTAGTAAAGTGCGATCTGTGTGGTCGGGTCCGTCATTCATTGTCACTATGTGCAATGTACACTTTCCATTAATCTCACAGTGGAAAATTCCTGGAAATCAAAGTCAAATGTTTATCAGTTGAAGAATCAGACTCTTTAAACATTATATTTGTACTAAATGTAAATATGGTGTCTGTATATTTATGGCCTATATTTGTGACTGTGTTTCTGTTGTAGTTTATTCCTGTATGAATATTAAAAACTTGGCTGAAAGTATTAAAAATGTATTTGCATTGTTTTACAGAAAAAGGGAAAAATCGTAGGACTGTGGGGGAAAGCGTGATTACCTCAGCAAAACAACTGGTGTAATTATATTAGGTTCATGTTTAAGGACCTCTGCATGTCTCCAAATAGCTTTGAATGTCTTTGAAATGAGAATAATACAAATAGAAAAAGAAAAAAAGTGGACACATGCAGACAAAGTAAAGAGATGAATATTCAGTCAGCTATAAAGATTCAAAGGTCTCAGTTTTTCTCAAATGTGTGTGAGGATCCAACAGCTCAGCTATTTGTTGTTTGTTGTTTTTAAAGGTTGCAGGAAGAACAAACGTCTTAAACAGTAAATGAAACAAAGCACAAATTCAAAAAAAAATTTTTCATTTCATTTCATTTTATTTTTTTTGTTCTTTTTAATTCAAAACGTCCTGTTGTAACTGGACTTTTTGAGTTAAGAAACAGCACCAAATCCCAGCAACACTTCCCTCATGGTGCTTTATATTGTAAAGTCAAGACCCTACAATAATGCACAAAGACTCCAATCCCCTAGAGCAGGCACTTTGGCGACAGTGGGGAGGAAAAACTCACTTATAAAGAGAGAAACCTCCGGCAGACCCAGGCTCTGGGATGGGGTGGCCATCTGCCTCGGCCAGTTGGTGATGAGGGAAGGACGTTGGGGAAAAAGAGTAGTTATTTTTAACCACTCTGGTTTCAAAATTAAATTTAGAAAGCCCAGTTGAAATGAATATTTGAAGCCAATTTAAGAGTTTTCTCACATAATCACATGCACGTGTTGGTTAGACTTTAGCGTGCACGTGAGAAAGCCCTAAAGATGATGTTTTGGCTCCTCAATTTTGCATGTTTTTTGAAGCTGCTGACGATTGCTTCATCCATTACTGGGTTTCTTGACCATATTAAGAGTATTGGAGAATCCCACCTGTCATGGAGTTCATTGTATATTGTCAGGGCGAGTAGTTCAATGTTCTCCAAGAACATTTTGTACTTTTTTGACAAAATTTTGTTCCAGATCTTCTGGAAAAGCCTCTCTACAATAAACTCGGATGCTACTGGATTCATTGTCATTGTCTCATTTCCTTCGCTGATGGCGTGCATTACCAGATCTTTGGTCACATTTTTTACAACTTCCTTGTACTCTTGCCTGTCTTTAGAGACACTGAGTACTCTTGCTGGTAATGCCAACAGGTGTTTGGTGAAGATTGAGACGGTAATATTGTCGAGCTGTTCCCTCAGATTAAAAATCAAAAGGTTTTCTTTGCAGTTGTGTGTTTTGCAAAGATCCTTGAGAATGGCCTTGCCCACATTGAAAATGCTGTTGTGGGATAAATTCAAGTGTTTCTCCTCAACTTCAGGCCAGATTTTCTCAGTCAGACGATGGCTGATGCAGTCAGGAGTGAGGCGCTCTGTGAAGATCTTGTATTTGGAGGAGACTTTTTCTTTGGCCAGTAAAACCACCAACTGAATAACCCAGTTGACGCGCACCTTTTTCTGCAGCTTCAGTGTCTTTTCCAAAGCTGATACTTCAGCCTGGTTGGTCTCATCTTTGAATGCAAACTGCACTTCTTCTAACACTTGTTTTTCCTGTTCAGTTTGTTTCTTTGCGTCCTCTACCATTGTCTTCTCCTCTGACAGTGCCGTCTGTGCTTCATTCACTGCTTTTTTTGCCTCTTCACACTCTTTCTTTGCCAGTTTGGTAGTTTCTTCAAGTGCATTTTTCACTTGGTTCAGTTCAGCTTTTTCTGTGGCGTTTGAAACCATCAACTGAAAAACTTTGTTGACACACAACTTTGAGGAGGAATCTGGGGTTGCCGTGTCTTTTTTCTCTGTCTTAGCCTCCGCTAATGGTTCTGTCTGCTCGTCCACTTTGTTCTGCATTTCTTTTGTGTCCTTCACCACTTTCTGCTCTTCCAGGACTTTCTTATTTTCTTCCTCCTCGACCTCCAGGTCGCCCAGTGTACTCTTTGGCACAGTGCACACTAACTCTGGTTTTGCTTGTTGGTCACTCGTTTTTGACATTTAAGCTACGATGTTACAATGAGTCAGACATTCAAATATGACTGAGGGTAGCAGAACAAAATCTCATCCAGTGAATCGCTCATGACTATAAGTAAGAAACGCGCTGGTCCAGTGTGGGTTTCACCTGCAATTTATGGACTTGAGTTGACTGTGACGTCACGGCCTGGTTCTCTTGCCTTTCATCTTTGAATCAGGCCCCACCCACAACAATGTGTTATTGGCTCATTGAAAATAGGTAACGCCCATAAAGAACGGGCTGTCAGAGTTTCTGACGTCATGGTCCGATTCTCTCTCCTTTAATGTTTGAAACAGGCCCGAAAATAGTGATGGTGTG